TTGGCAACTTTAAGATGGGTGGACTTCAATTCTCCCATCTTAAAGTTGCCAGGGTTGAGGAACCCTGCCATAATCCATTCATTTTGTAAATTTCAAAAATGAGGGCATGTTTCAATTTCATTAAGCGGTGCTGAAATTTGGTCTTGCATGAGAACATCAGAGGTAACTTGCTACATTAGATCAACACCTACATGAACAATGTTACTGTTTTTTTCATTATTAACTTGGTAATGAAAAGCAATTAACAAGAGTTGTACTCCAACGTTATTTGCAAGCATCTCAGGGGTAGCCCCCAGAACAGTGTTTCTCAACCTCATTGACTTTAAGATGTGTGGACTTCAACTCCCGGAATTCCTCAGCCAGCATGGTGGCTAGGGAATTCTGGGAATTGAAGTCCACACATCTTAGTCAATGAAGTTGAAAAACACTACCCTAGAAAATCACCCTGGTTAAAAGTGTGCAATGGACCCAATATTGATTCAGAGCTACAGTAATACCTCGGTTCACGAACGCTTCTGTTCACAAACAATTCGGTTCACGAACAGCATTGTTTGCAAAATTTTGCTTCCATTTGCGAACTCCGCATTGGGTGACGAACACAACCCACAGCCATCTTCCCTGCTTTGACACGTGGTCGTGGCTTCCTGTAGGGAGGGGGACTCTCCCTCCAAATAACCACCACCTCCCCACCCGCCTTCCTGTCCTCCACGCCAGAAGTCGCCTCAAGCAAGGTTAGTGGTCTCTCTCTTCATACTGTACTTTGTTTCATATTTTTGTGGTTTAAAAAAAAAATACATATGGTTCAGAACTGATCAACCTTATTTACATTGAACCTTTTGGGAAAATTTGATTCGGTTGGCGACCAAAATCGGTTGGCGACCACATTCGTAGGGGTCAGAATGGATTAACCTTATTTACATTGAACCTTTTGGGAAAATTTGATTCGGTTGGCGACCAAAATCGGTTGGCGACCACATTCGTAGGGGTCAGAATGGATTAACCTTATTTACATTGAACCTTTTGGGAAAATTTGATTCGGTTGGCGACCAAAATCGGTTGGCGACCACATTCGTAGGGGTCAGAATGGATTAACCTTATTTACATTGAACCTTTTGGGAAAATTTGATTCGGTTCGCAACCAGAATCGTGGAACAAATTAAGTTCGTGAACCGAGGTACCACTGTAGTTTTAAACTGGGCTGTAAAAATCCAGGCACTCACTAGATAGCAGCAGAGTGAGTTTTCTCCATTTCTTTGCTGCCATCTAGTGATCTTCAAAAATTCTGCATCTGATTTCATAGCCCTGACTCTTCCCATCTCATCAGAATTTTTTCGCAGTGGATTTCAGCACAATTATCTTTGCAGAACAAAAGATCCAACATGTTACTGCATCAGAGTCTAACTTTTCTGAAGAAGAGTGTTATTTGTAGACAGAAGTAATTTTTTTTACAAAAAAAATTGAAACCGCTTTGATAGATACTGTGCGTGTGTAAGGTACCTAAGTATTTAGCTCACCCAACTTTTAATTTTCTTTGCATTCATTTTTGCTTATAAAAGTGTATTTAAAAATCTGTAAATGCAGCTGTAAAAGGACATTTTAGTCTCCAGTGGTTATAGGAGGATTTGCTCAGCTTCTCTTTCTGAAATCACTCTCCTCTCTTATTATTCCCTTCGTATTTGAGTAGGATTTAGGTGAAAAGATTTAAAATATAAAGACAGGATTATCTGTGTCTCTTTGCTCTTCCTCTCCTCTTTTGTGAGCTATGGAGATTTAAGAATTATTTTGTATGCCCATATCAAGACGGTATTTCTAATATTTTCCTCATGTATCCTCGTAATCAGTTCTTTTACAATATTTTACTGTAACAGCTACTGCATTTTCCTGACCCCATAGCAGAAAACAAAATATATAGTACAAAGATTTTAAAAAACGTTCATTTGTTTGTTTTGCAGTATTGAACTGATACCCATTCTAGCTGACCTCTGAATGCAGGGAGGGTTATCGTTAGAGAAGTGCAAAACATTCCAAATGGGAGCTGTCTGGCTCTGGAAGGCCCACTTTTTTCCTCCCACATCAGGTGGATCAAGGAATTCTGGAAGGGGTTCATTGATGTCCGGAAGTGGATTATCCAGAACCAGAAGTAGTTTGTGGCATCCTAGATGTGTGCCAGACCCTGAACTCTCTCTTCCTACTTGCCTTTCAGAGGAACGGACAAGTTGCAAGCAAGCGAAAGGGCGAAGAGTGTTTGGAATTTTTCTGAGGGCTGCAGGTGGCTCTATGGGTCAAAGGTGCCGACCCCGCATTAGCGGCTTGCCCCGGTATTGCAGTCTTCCCAGCTTCCTGCAGTCAGAAGTCCTACAGACCATCTGGCCCTCCTGATATTCCTTTCTTGGGTTTTGTTTCTTTCTCTACAGGTATTATTTGAACTTGCCCGCTACCATGCGCCTTCCACAATCTTCCTGGACGAGCTGGAGTCAGTCATGAGCCAGCGAGGCACCATTCCAGGGTAACAATTTTCAAGTGGCCGGTCTTTTGTTGCTTTTTTACTTTTGTGTGTGTTGGGGGGATGGAGAGTGTCAGGTCAATCCTCTTCCCAAATATTTAAAAAATAAACCCGCCCCCCACTCACTGCCCCCTGGCTAGTATTGGGAACATAGATTAACCTTTGTGGCTTCCTCCATTCGTCCCCTTTTCTTCTTCTAAACATCCTCAAATACAGTAAGCTAAATGGGCTAAGTTGGATCCCCAAAGAAAAGTTACTGGGACAGGACTGGCCCTCGTCCAGGCCTGCGTGGAGGACCACCTGAATACTCCTGGCTGGAGGCTTCTGGAGAGGAAGTGGAATATCACCTATAGGGAGAGCTTTTTCCACAGCAAGCTAGTTTCTGATGGTTGTACAATTCTTAAGGGATACAAGCTTAAGAAAGTAGTGTCTCAAAGCCATCATTGTCCTCCTAATCTCTTTTTGAGGCCCATTGAATGAAACAGGTAACCTTCTATTATCTGATCACTTGAACAGATGTAAAGGATCCTCTATATTAAGTTATTCCATTGCTGATTTGGCCTTGTTCTGAATTCTGGGAGTTGAAGTCCACTCATCTTAAAGTTGCTAAGGTTGAGAAACACTGGTCTACACATTGCTACATTACAAACTTTCAGATAGTCAGAAGGACTGTTTACAGAGGGCTCCATACCAGAATCACTTGAGAGGTTCCAGCGAGAAGGGACTGTTTTGCTACCCAACAGCTTTGCACAAATAGATGCTGCATTTTGTGCTGTCTTGAGCTGTGCTAAATGTTAAATGTCCAGATGTTTTCCCTTTGATCATTTTGTCTCTCACACACATCCTCTTGATGTTATTTTATCTTTGTAGCTCAGCAGGGATAGAAAGAAATGGAGTACCATAAAATGGATGCTCTGACTACCTTTTCTGGTGGTGTCCCTGTTGCTCCAGACCAACCATTTTAGGCCAGTGAGCAGAGGTCCTTCACAGCATGGTAACCAAGGATGGTTTTGTGCATTTAGTTTCTGCCCCAGCTTCTAAGAGGCATCTGGAGGCTCTGAGAGAACTGGAAAAAAAATCCCAGATACTTCTCTGTCACTTGATGTCTTATTGGTCAGTGACCTGCAGCTGAATGTAGCAAAGAAGTCCTCAGCAGGGCTGGGTCAGTGAAGGTGGGTTCACATACAGAAGTCATCAACGGATTTGCACAGTCACCAAGTGATGAATCATGTATATGAAAATTGGTTTGAAGATTCCTTAATTGGAGAGATGATTATAACATAATAACGCTGGGTAGACTTGAAGAGAACATGATTAGATAAGCCTTGTGTGAATTAATAGTCCATATACCTTTCTGTACTCAGGCAAATGTCTCTAAAATCTTCTACCTGCAGGGGAAAAAGGATCGGAACCTTACGCCTGACAAACATACCCTCTGCCCCTGTTTTTATGGATCTTTTTAATTGGCTCATAGAACAGACTTATGTAGGGCAGTCTCCTGTTTTTACATTCTAATCAGCATCCGTGCTATCATTCCATCCTCATAGCCTGGATTTGTCAACCAGGGGTCATAAAATAAAATTAAAGATTTAAAAATGGCCCTTATCTTGTAGGCCTTCAGAAAGGCAATAAAAATCTGGGTTTTTTTGTTTTGTTTTTGGGGGGGGCATTGGGGCTGGGATGCTGGCATTCTCCATCTGGAGGAGGAAGTGAATGCAAATCTTTGGTCGCCTATTAATATCTGGTGAATTTTAATCGAAATTGTTTGTTTTGTTTTGTGTTGGGGTCTATTGTGAGATGCCAGAGTCACAATGTTTGTGCTGGGTGGCCATATAAATTCTATAAATAAATATGGCAAAATCTCATACAATTTAATTAACACACCCTTTAAAGTCTCGCAGAATCTCATGTGAGATTTCAGATTTCAGGCATCAACAGTGACATTTTCTAAGATTTCATGGTTTTCAAAATTTTCAAGTTGTTTAACACTGGAGTTCTGTGGCTACTAACCTGAGTTGCTATAGATGATTTATTACCAATCCACTCCATTTTGCTGATCCATGCACTCTCTCATAGTGGGACTGGTTTGGTTCAGACGTAGAGTTTTGTGTGACCTCTGGCCTATATAGTCCGAAACTATCATTTATGTTTATATTGCTTGTACAACTAACTGTGTTTAAACAAATGGAGACTTTGCATGAAGCCAGTCATCAGATAATTGATATCTTCCAGGGGGGTGCTCAACAGGACTCAAGCTCTCTCTAGAGAAGCTTGGGCAACTTCATGGTGGAGCATAGTGTGACCCTTCAGCGGAGCCATCAGCTCTGTTCCATGAAGTGGGGGGAAAGAAAACTCTGTTGGATGTAGTTTAAATTAAATCAGAGTAGTTGATTCAATGGCTCCCTGTCAATTGAATATCTCTCCTGTTAAAAGTTACACTTTGGTGGTTTTAGAAGGCCCCAAAATTTCAAGGACTGCTTAACTTCAAGTGGTGTGCCTGTGTTGCAGAGGAAGGGATTGTGCCAGATTCCTGCAAGGATATTTAAAGGATTGTTTGGTACTGAATCATGGACAAAGTCGGGTTCTACTAACAAATTTTGCCCCACTTCTGTTCTCTGTGAGACCCAGTGCAAGGCCTAATAGCCTTCTCACTAATCACAAGCTTTGGCATTCACTCAGGCCCTCTTGTATTAATCTGCGTGCAAAGATAAAACTTCAGATGTGTATTTCCTTTCATTCTCGTCCTCTAATGAGCAAATTCACTCTTGAATTAACTTCTCGACATTATCCGTCATGAAGTTTACAATAAGGCTTAGGTCTTAGCTAATGGAAGGAGGAAAAGGTTTCCATCACAGGGATTCCGCATCTTAGCCAATCCCTATTTAGATAAAGGGGACCCTTCTTCTGTACCTAGGAATAACATTTCCCCTTTCCCCTGCCCCCAATATATCTTGGTAGCAGTGAACACGAAGGGAGCCGGCGGATGAAAACAGAATTATTGGTGCAGATGGACGGCTTGGCCCGATCAGATGATCTTGTCTTTGTTTTAGCAGCTTCCAACTTGCCCTGGTAAGAGAGCCAGAGAATATGTTTTGAATACATCTGCATGAGCCTCTAAACACAGATAAAGATTTTACTTACTCAGAGCAGTAAAAGCCATGATATTTGGCTAAAGCCTTCAAAGATTAATTGGGAGCTTTTGGGGTCTTTATTATTATTATTGCTGTTGTTTTGCTTCTGCAGTTCTTGTGTTTGTACCACAAAGTACATAACCCGTCAGAAGATCAACATATGCCAGGGCAAGCCAGCTGCTAATATTTAAAAAGCAACTTGATGGCCAAGTTATTTACTATAGTTAAGCTAAAGAAGCATTCTCAGCGGAGAAACTCTTAAGGTGCTTAAATCATCCGGCGCTCAGAAAATATGTGCTCTAAAAATAGGGAAAGTTGGATTTTATTGGAATTATGAGTGCTAAAGTTTCAGGATGAAAACCCTCCTTTTTTAATATGAAGATCCAGTTGGGCTCAAAATGGGCGGCAATAGAAAGAATGTCCCTTTGGTCTTTTGTACAGAGGTAACAAAGGAGGAAACTACTGTGAACCCTTGTTTTAAGGGATCCCAGTGCAACAAACTTTGCATGCAGCGGACCATATTTTTCCTGAGATCTGTGTGAATGGACAGAAATTGATGTCACTGGTGTAGTGACATCACTGTGCAAAATGAAGTAAGCTGATACTAATGGCATCATTTGCGTGATGATAGAAATGGCTGCTTTACTCTCCAATTCAGTCGACATTCCTGAATAATGTTCTCCCATCCTCATCTTCCTCCTCCTCCTCAAGCCATTAAAACAAAGTTTTACTGTAATACAATGCAGTGGATGAGTTGAGAATTAGAAGAGTCAACTTCAAATTTTGCTCTTCTTGTGGATTCATTCACACTATCACTTCCTCGCCTCTTAGTCCCGGCTGTCGAATGATGATGATCATAATACTGACCTGGCCTATAGAGCTAATAGCCACTTTCACACCAGTGTACAAGACACTGTCAACCAGCTGTGGTAATTTAAAGCCTGTCTTCATTAGTGATCCACTCCCACAAGGATGATTATATGGTGCTGGAAGATGGTGTAACCTGTAGTGTGGAAATGACCCTTGTCAGAAGGGCAAAGTAATATTTCTGTTGCCTGTGTTGGCATCTGATAAAGCCAGCCTGCTTCATCTGCTCCAGCTACTGCAGACTTGCATGTACACACAGCATGTAATGACTCTACCCTTGGTGACTGAAAACACAGAGGAAGAACTGGCTCTTCTATTGTAAGTCACTGCGCATAAGCTTAAAATCCATCTGTCGTGTGCTCGCTCTGATGTTCTGTTCACACAGGTAACTCTTTGCTTGAGTGAAGGCACGTGCGTAAGAACAAGCCCGGTCTCTGCTGGATCAGTTCCAGTCTGGGTGGCCCTGCTCCTTCCATAGTTTTGGTGTCTCTTAAGGAAACCCTTTACGGCTTACACTTCAGGAAATGGCTAGTCCTGAAATCCTCTCACTAATAGAACACTATCCAAGGATCTGTCCTCCTTATTCTCTTCTAGGGAACTGGATTACGCCATGCTGCGCCGACTGGAGAAAAGGATTCTAGTTGACCTCCCAAATAAAGAAGCAAGGCAGGCGATGGTCCAGCATTGGCTTCCGCCGGTGAGCAACAGTGGAGGAGTGGAGTTGAGGACAGAGCTGAATTATGCTTTACTCTGTCAGGTGAGGAGGAAGCCCATCCAGGTTATCAGGAGTTCTTATGAACGGCCTTTGTAAAGGAGTCAAAGCGTCTATAGAGGATAGCATGGTTATTGGCAATTAGTCATGATGGTTTGGTGGGACCATTACTTTCAAAAATAATTACTGATTGCTGGGAACAAGAGCATGGGGCTTGCCATCTTTGAGGCCTTACTGAAGGCATCTTGGTTGGCCACTGCAGTAGCTGGAGCAGATGAATGAGATAGGCCACTGGTCTGATCCATGTGGATCTTGTAATGTTCTCTTGATGTTCTTCTAGTGGAAAAATCACTTGTCACAAATCTCGTCTTTGAGCAAAGCTCAATTCCATTATAAATGATCCACAAGACTGGTTTCGTCTGCTCAGTCTTCCTTTTTGGTCATGTCAGAAGTGGCCTGGTGTAGAAATCTTCCCCATAACCTGTCTTCCATTTCATCCTTTCTTAATCTAAATGCCAGCTTGGGAACTATCTGCAATGGAAAGCCTCTGCAGACTCAAGCACCTCTTTTTGTTTACATATTAGGAGATGGAAGGCTACTCTGGATCTGACATTAAGTTGGTCTGCAAAGAAGCAGCTATGCGTCCTGTGAGGAAAATCTTCAGTGCTCTTGAAAATCATCAGCCAGGTACAACAGACCCTCTGAGTGTTCAAGCTGGACAGATGCTGCAAGATCAAATAAGCTGTGATGTCCTAGCTAGGTTAGCTAGCAAGCTTACAGGGTTAAATGATAAATTATAGATGTGTACCAGGAGATGGCAGTATTTTGTTTCCAATTAGACTTATTTCGGATTTGTGAACTCCCTTCCTCTTTTGCCACTGCTTACCCTGGTATAAAAGTGTCAGCCTTTCTAAGATGCAATAAGCCTTCACTCCCTCCACCAAATCCCTAGTAGTCTGAGATGTGTTACTAGTACAAATACTTTTTTCACAAAGGGTTATCACACATCTATAGTGCTGATGTTTCTCAACATTTCACCTACATTAAACCAGCTTTCTCCAATCTGGTGCTCTGTAGACGTGCTGGAACACCGACTCTTAGAATCTTTAGCCAGCATCTGGAAGGTGTCGCATCAGGGACCTATTAAAGAATATTTTGGCTACATGAAAAATTATTCCTAGGATAACACCTGAATTAGGATACCTCAGGCCTTCAAGATCTCTTTGTCAGACCTTACGAAGTAGGCTGGGAATGAGGGGGAAAAAAGGGCTGCTGAAATCAAGAAGTCTGTGTTGTTGAAGGAATAAGGTGTGTACATAATTATTTATTTATCACGTCAAAGTCAGCCTTCTCTTTGTCCCCATATGCACAGGCCAGGCCAGGCCAAAGGTGGGTAAGCAGCTTTTTAACAGATATGTTCTCAGAGATGTTTTGCACATACATATTTCACTCAGTTATAACTTGGTTATTTATTAATTGCAGATTTTCATCTCTTCTGTCCTGTATGCGCAAAGTAGTTTACAGCCAGTTTTCCATTTCTCTCCTTCTTGGGCTCGTTAAAGTCAGGCTTGCTTAGTCTGGGATTCTGGGCGGGGTTGGACTGCAACTCCCCAAATCTGCAGCTAGGACTAATAATCTCACACATTGGAAGGCACCAATTTGAGGGATGAGAAGGGAAATGAAAACAAAACAATACCCACAATTCACCACAGTGAGAATAAACTAGTAGGATAAACTGGAGGGACCAGAGCAAGACTCAAGGTGTGGAAATGTCATTCAGGGGTCTGTCCCTCCTATGACCCCATCATCCTTTGGGCCGTATGTCATTCAAGGGGAGACTTGATTAGTTCATTGACCACTGGTGGACCAACTTTGGATGACATCTGAATTTCTAATTGGAGATCTTCTTTCTCAGACAGTGGGAACTTACCTGTGATCCAGTTGGACACTGTCACAACTGAAGACTTCTTGGATGTCATCTCTCATACCAAGCCCTCTGCTAAGAACCTAAGTCAAAAATACGTTGACTGGCAAAGAGAATTTGAGTCGGTCTGAGCCGAGTTTAAGATCTGAAACAATCATCTAAGTTTCCAGCTCTTCCATCCCACCCCAAAAGGCAGTCCCAACAAATTTCTACTATTTTTTTTTTACCAAGAGAAGAAACTTCAGTCATTTTCCAAGCTGGATACTAAGTTTTGATGATGGAGAAGAGGCTGCAAATTGTTATTTGAAGAACCTCATTATATCTTTTCAGTTGATAAGCCTCAGACTCATACAAAAGGTGGGAAAACATTTTAGCACTTTATTTTATGACTAAAACTGGCAGTTTTTATTCTTGTGTCACCTAGAAGACTTCTGGGATCCACTTTGCTGACTTAATATTTTGCTACTGTAATTTTTTTCTTAGTGGGACAGATAGCAGGAAATGGCAAAGAAGGAAATTAATTGGCCTTCTCAGGTATCTTTGTATTAAACCAGTAGATTCTGAACAAGGCCAACATCCATGAAGAATAAACCATTTTGGAGTCTCAGAGATGACTTTCAGCGGTTTACTTAGAGTGACTAGTATCTCTCATCTCTCTACCCTTGGTCATTTGGAGATCTAAAACAGACACTTTCAAGGTTTTTTTTCCCTTAGGGAAGAGACGTGGAAAGTGTAGCAAGTTTTGTATAATGTACCTAGTGGATCCCCAGATTTAAACAGGACAGCGGCCAGGAAAGGAAGCATTTATCCTTGTCCTACCATGTCTTCCACCACCACCCCATTTGTTCCTTGGGAGGAACCATTATCAAGGCTGTGGATCTGGCTTCAGTGGAAAGATGGGAGACAGCCACTGTTAACATGCTGTCTTCTGGCAACACCCCACTTTGATGCACAGTAGCAGCTAACAGCAGAATCAATTTGTCTTAATATTTCTATAAAGTCCTTACATGTTGTGTTTGAGACAAAGCTTTCCTTCTCAAAAGATCATTGATTTCCTAGAACTTTGCACTTCTGAGCTACAGTCCTGGACTCTTCTGGAGTTTTGAATCCAACCCTATGTGATCCTCTTCCTGGGCCATATAGTACTGGTTCATCCAGCCAGTTTCCAAGATCGAAGAACTGTGTGTAATGCGCATCCACTTTTTTTCTAAAAAGTGCTTCAGGTTTGCCCAAAGCACCTGTCTGCAACATCTTGAAGCAGCTAGGCTTTCCCAGGTCTTGTGCAATCCTCGGAAAAAGAGACATGTTGCAGACAGGTGGCGTAGGCATGCTCAAGCACATGCCAAGGTCCATTTTGGAGACTGAATCCAAAGTGCCATACAGCTGTAATGAAGCACCCTGAGGTTTGCAGCTCCCCTTTCCTTAAACTGGTCAAATATTCATGTACGTGCCCCTTTGCTTTTAGCATTTGGCGTGACTGGTGAATTCACTCAGATCCTCTGTATTAATGTTTTAGCTCCTCTGCATTGGTTTATTTATAAGCTTAATTTTAGCTGGATGAGAGCGTTTAAGAAATATTTTTAAAAATACAATTTAACAGTTAATAGAGATGTGCTCTCATGTTCTTCATCTGAAGCACTTCACAGTTGCCTTAAATTTAAAACCTTTCCCATCGCTCTTCTTGGCCGAGCTGATTGGGAATCCCTGGAGTTCTTGAAGAAACTCACCCAGTCACCCGTGGCGATGTCTGTACCAGTGTTTTCATTTCACGTCCTTGCCCCCAAAAAGGTGTTTACTGGTAGCTGTCAGTGCTTCACTCGTGCATACAAGAAAACGCTACGGAAATATGAAAATCAAACTTTGGGATTGCATTTGCGGTTTGTTTTAAATGCAACTTCCTTAAAAGGTACCAATCTTATCTACCATTAATTAGGAGCAAGCCACACAGTACTGTCATTGTGGCTTGCTTGGGTTTGATTTAACACGACGTGTGAACCTGGACACTATGGTATGTTTAACAACTGGGGCTTAGCAGTATATGAACGTGGTCTCATTCCTTGCTTTGGATTCCACGTGCGCAAGATTGGCTAGCACACCCCCTTGAATCAATCCAAGTTCTTCAGGCTTTGGCACATTCAGCTCTACTAAATTTATACTGTCCTGTTGCTGCCCACTTGTCAAGCCTGCTTTATGGCTAAAAAACTGGACCTGAGAGAATTGGTTCTAAGGCTTTTGCACTCTCAGAAGGAATTTACAAACAAACTTTGTTCCATCTTATCCACCTCCCTCCTGCTACACACTTCAAATTAAATCATTTAAGCTACTGCTGAGAAGCCAGTGACCATTCCAGGGAAGCATTTGGCTTTTATTTTTCAATAAGGCTTGAAATCATTAAGATGAACACTAGCCCAGCTGGTTTTTGGATAAAACATCTGAGGATTCCTTGCAGACACCAATAAGAGGATGATTTAAGATCAGGTTACTTGACAGTTCCAACTTTTATTAGATGAAGTTGTTGTGGCTGTTACTGGGGAACAAAACAATTCCTCCTCTCCAAAACACTGAATGGTTTATCACTTGGAAACTTTGCCTCCATTTCAACATATTCCTTCCTGTCATGCATCAGTTCTTCTTGCTCAGTTGGACTAGGTCTGAGCATGCTATCGATGGGATTTCATCCTGATTAACAGTTGCACTTTAGTGCTTGGGGCTACAATTTTTCTCCTAGCTTCTGTCTCCAGGAATCTGGGTTCAGTCTTCAAACACAGGAAATAAAGCAGGAACACAATCTAATGCGGGTACAGCATGTTCCAGATTTCTTCTACAAGCAACTGCGGTGACTTCCTTGTGTAGCAGCGTAAAGGCTGGATGACGATAAGCTTCCAGAGCAGAGAGCATCAATTGGCATTCACATTTTACAGGGTTCGGCAAGCTTTTTCCAAAAGTTGCTGATCTGTAACTTCCAGCAACCTCTCCTTGGTCATGCTTCCTGGGGATGCTGGGAATTGACCATTAACAACATCTGGGTTGCTTCAGATGATCCCCATAAAAACCAAGTACCACTCAGAAACATTTAGAGAGCTAAGAAGACCCCCAAGATCATGCCAGGCTCTACTCCTCCTCCTTTTACTTTCTGAAATAATCCCTTTTTCAAAGGAGTTCCCAAGTACTAGTCATTAGATGCCAGGCAAAGCTACATTTACTGCATTTCCAGACATACACAAAACTCACTGCCCTAGGACTGACACCTTCATTAAAGCAGCCCACTCTGAAAGGTGCCAGCTATCTCTGCCTAAGGAAGAACCTTAAAAAATGTGCTCACTTTCTGCTGTACAAGTTGTTCAGAGACCGAGAGGCTGCCAGCTTGTGGCATCACCAGGGAGAGGCAGGTGAGCCCATCATACATTAGTAGTATTTAGCAAGGTCTGGGCATCAGGTGCACTTTCTCTTCCTTCCATGAAGATGGACAGTCATGCAGTCAGAACGGACCCATATATCCCACCAGCAATGTAGAGTGTGCCAATCTATGCCCCATATAAGGGTAAACCGCATATTTCTTTCTTTTTTCAACCACACACATTCCCTCTCTGCACTTGGGAAGCGAGCAAGCCAGACGGGAAGGTTGGGCACAGACTTCTTTCTTTTGGACAGGATAACTTTTTGTGTGTGGGGAGCAATTTTTAGGGTGAGAGCATTCGTTCCAGCACAGTCCCCAAAATGGCAGAGATGCACCAAGGAGGTACACCAAGCAAGCCGAACGCTCTGCAAAAGATGCTGTGGGCCATTTCATTGTCTGGGCCTGGAAGGTGACGTTCGAGTGCTGTGGTGCTTCTTCAGAGCAGATGCTGGAGGATGTGCTCCACAGCATGGGGAAAACTCTCACAGATTAAGTAAGGGGGTGGGTTAATTTTGCCTTCATCAGCATATCGGTATTTCCCTGCAACAACAACAAAAAAACCAGAAATAAATGCTATTTTCTGTAATTAGGTCAGCATCAGCATAAAGCTTTCCCAGAGATCAGTGCTGGCACAGCAAATTTCTATAACCCCTTCTTGGTCCACTATTTTCCCGTGTCCTCACTGGTACATTCAGCTTTGCTAAAGTAAAAAAGTATGGACATGGAAGGTTCTATCTACTGACCAAGGAACCGAGGTCCCATCCTGTTAAACAGCAGGTGAAGTATGTTCTCTTTACTTTTCTGCAATCTAATTCTTTCCCTGGCAGACAGCCTCCTAGAGGAGATGAATATCTTTGCAAAGAGCAAATCAGGAAATCATGGGGTGGAGTAACATGGACAATGAAACAGTGACCACAACTATCTAGATCAGCGTTCCTCAACCTCAGCAACTTTAAGATGTGTAAACTTCAAGTCCCAGAATTCCCCAGCCGGCATGGGGAATTCTGGGACGTGAAGTCCACACATCTTAAAGTTGCTGAAGTTGAGGAACGCTGATCTAGATGCAACAGCAGTTCAGCTACTATTTAAGTAGCCACAGGACAGCCTCCTGTGTTCTACTGGGATAGCTAAGTTGAGGTGGGAAGGATCTGCAGAAGAAGTTAACACAGGAGGGAATAGCAGCAAGGTGTTAAAGGGTGGGATATCTGTTCCTCAAATGTGTATAAGCAAGCTGACACTCACTGCTTGACTGCGGTTGCTGAAAAACTACAGTTCACCCCTGACACAGAAAGAACTTTCCAAAAGTGCAAAATACCAACACCAGGAGGGAAGAGGCCAACTGCAGTCGACGTTTTTAAGTGAAAGACCGCATGGCTGTTGACCACTCTGCTGCAGTTCCTGCACTGATGAACAGGTTGGAGTGGATGATCGACAAGATCCCTTCAACACGATGTCTGCAACTCATCCATGACTCGATAAATCTCTTACCATCTTCCTGCTTATCTCTTTTTTTCCTCCTAAGGGAAAATGGTCTAATTCCTTGATCATTTAGGTTGCTTCCTTCTGTAGGAAGAGCAGGAATAAACCTCACCCTGGATTAATGTGGTTCTTTAAGTGCCCACATGGCACTACGTACCAGTCTTCACCAATATTCCCAGCATGCCAGCGTTCTGGGCACCCCCAACGTCATCCCTGCAGTCCTGTAAGTCCAAGAAAAACAAAAGGTAAGTGCAAATAAACCTGCAGCTTGCGAATATGTCACAAACGTGCTAGAAACAATTCAGGCACTCACATCACCGATCATGACAGCTTCCTCAGGTCCACAGTTGGTACCACGCAAGGCCTCCAGGAAGAAAGTTTGCTCTGGCTTCCCCACTACCATGGCCTTCTGGTCAGTGGCATACTCCAGGCCTGTCACAAATGGTCCTGGGCCGAGGGCAAGGCCATCTTTCCTCTTGTAATACCTTGCTTTGTGAATGGCTATGAGGGGAGCCCCATCAAGCACCAGCCTTGGAAGAGGAAGGAGAGAAGAGCTGCAACTACTCCAGGGAGGCCTAGAAGCACCAGGCTGAGAACAAGGCCATGCACAGCCCATGACATTCAGTGGGAACCCTTCGAAAACAGCCCAATTTTTCATAGACCAATGGGAAGGATCCTCAAATTGTTTCCAGGTCTGAACCTCAGTTGTGAATTCAGAACTTTGTGTTTCTTCTTAGTGGAAATCAACAGGCAGCCATGCATTTCTTCTTTGACAAAAAATGGCTAAATTTGAAGACTGAACGAAGCCTGACAAATTTCCAACAAAAAGTGCCTGTGGGCAGGTTAGCTGTGATAGACATCTTACATTTTCATTTTTTTAAAAAAAGAATCATTAGTCCCCAAATCTGAAGGGGTCTCCAGTCAGTTCATTATTGGCAGCTGGCTCCTGACCCTATCAAAATATCTCTTCATATCCAATCATTTTAATACAGCGTTGCCTTCCCCACCTTGGCAACTTCCAGCATCACTGGAAATACCAAAGAAAAGCCAAGTTGGCTGAGCATGCAGAGAAGCATAATCCCCCCATGCCTGGAGCACGCCCCAGGGGCGGGGGGAAAAGCTGCCACGAATAACGCAGCATCACCTGAAAGCAAACCACGCCCCTCCGGACCCCAATGCTTGCAAAGCCACTGCGGGGGCAACCTTGATCCTGGGACAAGAGACCGCATCTTCAAGGGGTTCCTGCTGAGGATGGATGACATGCTACAAAGGGCATTCTGCCCACTGAATCCCGACTGCTACCCAGCTGCAGTTTCTAAGGGGAATTGCATCTTTGTGCATTACGGAAAGCAGCAAAAGCAGAAGGAATTCTCCCTGCCATCGCAAGCCCTACTGCTCAGCCGCCGCCACCCTTCTGGCAATAAGCACCACCTTGTTAAAACATCTGGAAGGGGTATCTCTGGGGCCGGTTGAAAGGTGCCAAGTGACAAGTGTAATTGCTGCCACCATCATGACAATTAGAACAGACCTTTTATTAAAACTCTGATGGGATTATTCCTACTTACCTAAAAGCTTTGTTCATAGTTTGATAGTTGAAATGGTCAGGAGCCAGCCCGATCACTACAGCATTTGGTTCGCTTGTTTCTATCCCTAGATGGAAATCCAAACGTCTGTTAAAATGGGTCCTAACTGGGTTCCATCCAGAGGAAGGGCTCCCATGGAAGCGGTTGCTTTCCTCTTCCCTCCCCATTCCTTTGAGGTTCAATCCAGCAGATTATGAACCTGTAGGGAAAGACTGCTTATTTTTCAACATCTGTACAGCACTCCGAAAATTGGGCAAAAATAAAAACTCCTCAAGCTCAACTCCTGGTGCCTACAAGGGCACATTCAGCGGGATTTCCCCCCAACCAAGTGTTTAGAATCAGCACTGGGCTCAGCCGGGGCGAACCACAATAATGAGGATGGGTGTTCTACTCACAACCAATAGATGTAGAAAGGTTAAGCCCCATCCCATCGTCCTCAAGGAAATACATTACCCAAGGCAAAATTTAATTATACCTTTGGGGCAGCTCTAGGCCTAGGATATTCCTTTAAAGAGATACAGTTAGAAGGCTGAATGATGTCCTTATGAAATGCAAAAATAAAAATGCAGCAAAGAGAGACGCTCCAATGTGGATTTTATGCATTTATTTGACTTATTTTGCAACATTCCCTAGGAGCATCTGGGTCCATTAACCAAAGAATGGATTATGCTCATCTGGCTGCAAGCTATCTTAAATGAAGATTATCCAAGAATAATTCCATAGTAGTTACTAACAGGAGCTTAAACATCTTTCATTGTACTTAAAACTACTGGACATTGAAGAAATGCATATAAAGCATTTTATGTGAAGAGAAGGGAGAGTTATGACCCAATGGGATTTGACACAGAATTGATCTAAAGACAGGAAACAATCTGACTTAATGAAACTTTTAAATCTCTCTTACATTAAGATGTTTCAGTATCATACACTGATTTGGGGCCAGGTAGAAGGGAATGCCCCTTCATGGATCACTGCCTTGTCGTGGCGGAGGGGCTTGCGTAACTCAGTGAAGCCATGAGCTATGCCGTGCAGGGCCA